TATCTATCTGATCACCATGGTGGGGAATCTCGGTTTGGTGGCATTGATTTTCATGGAACGCCATCTTCACACACCCATGTACATCTTTCTGGGCAACCTGGCTCTGATGGATTCCTGCTGTTCCTGTGCCATTACCCCCAAGATGTTACAGAACTTCTTTTCTGAGGACAAAATGATTTCCCTCCATGAATGCATGACACAATTTTATTTTCTCTGCCTTGCTGAAACTACAGACTGTTTTCTCCTGGCAGCAATGGCCTATGACCGCTATGTCGCAATATGTAGTCCACTGCAGTACCACACCATGATGTCAAAGCAACTCTGCATTCAGATGACGATAGAAGCCTACATAGCTGGAAACCTACATTCCATTATTCAGGTAGCACTTCTATTAAGGTTATCCTTCTGTGGATCTCATAAAATCAATCACTTTTTTTGTGATCTTCTTCCATTATATAGACTCTCCTGTGTTGACCCTCATATCAATGAACTGATTGTACTTATCTTTTCAGGGTCCATTCAAGTCTTCACTATTTCCATAGTCCTAATCTCTTATCTTTGCATCCTTTCCACAATTTTCAAAATGAAATTCAATGAAGGAAGGGGCAAAGCCTTATCTACCTGTGCGTCTCACTTTCTCTCTATCTCAATGTTCTATGGTTCTCTACTCTTTGTGTATATTCAGCCACGCTCAGATAAAGAAGAAGATAAAGATATACCATTTGCTATTTTTTATACTATAGTAATTCCTTTATTAAACCCCTTTATCTATACTCTAAGAAATAAAGAAGTAATAAATGTTATGAAAGTAATTTTGAAGAAGAGAGAACCTCATGACATTCTGAAACAAACATTATCTTCTGGTACAAATTGATTTTAGCTGCATGAACATTTTCCAATTTGAAGGATATTGGGAAAATGTAAAATACTCACTTTGTATATTAAATATTAAATCACTGAACTGTGATAATTTTAAAATCAAATAAGTTATAAATTGTTAAATAAAATCAGAAAAGTTCTCTGCTAAATTGTATTTCAAAATGAGAACTAGTATGGTCTGTCAGGTGTGAATTAACTACTTTGAGTTCACAAATTGTATCAGGGTGGAATTAGGTACAATTTTCAACATATTCAACAAATCTTAGTAATAAAATTCAGTATATAAATGCAATCTCCATTTAGCATTTTGGCAAATACAAACTCACAAGCATTTCAAATTGCCATATATTACTTAAGCCACACCCTCTATCAAAATATACTGTGCATTTGCATTTGATTCTCAACTCTTTCTGTCATTCAAGAGTTTGTGTTTCCACATGTTTTTTTTTTTTCTACAGAATATGTATTCTCAAATCAACAATATCTTTATCTTTACTGTTAGTAATTTTTTTTCTGTAAAGCTCTCTCAAAAACATCATTTAATGGTAATTTATTAACCTTTAGTTGAAAATATCATTAGTTATATTGAAAATAATATAAAGTTGAATTTTTTCACATAGATGCTCATGATAAAAGACAATGCAATTTCTGAATTTATTAATTCAGGGATTTTCCCTTTAGATAACATTACTTGTCTTGTTTCTTAGTAGGGACATCATTAACCTGCACTCATTCCAATATGAATTATTCATATATTATTAGCATTAAGAGAAAAATGGAGACTCTGCTCTGCATAAAGG